TGTGCACCGAGACGGCGCTTTTATCGCTGGGAGGGTAATGCTACTTAGCTGAAGTATCAGCGGTCAGAAGACGACAACAAGGAAGTGGTCTGTCGGTTGTGCGTGCTGTCTTCCATCCTAGTCGACGCCATACGCATCAGTTTGAATATAGATTTTAAATAGACACACCTCGTGTCATTTTTACGTAACATCTTTGATTATTTTACTTGTTACGAGAGCTAGATAGGTCTCGTGGTATGTAAAAAAGTAGTGCAGTTCATACTTGGCGGTAATCTGTTTAAAAATTTCCTTCAAAATCTGTATCACTGCCATGTGTGTACTATAAGCCAATTAAAATATGCACTGATGCCGCCTCATTGCAAGAAATGTGTATTTTCAAGCTCCCAGGACGACATATTAAATGCTGCCAACTGTTCCAAAGAAAGGGTCTTCTGTTACAAAATTTAAGCTTTAATGCTCCAAGAACTGCTCGCAATTTAGTCTCAGCCGTCTCACCCATGGTAGCGTGAAACTGGTGGTAATTCAAGGGCGAACATCCTCTGTTCTAGGAATGCTGCTGTTAGCTCGTTTGAAAAGTCGCACAGCGTGTAATGAAGCGATTTTCGCTAATAACTACACGTTTGCTGCCAGAATTCGTCACGGTTATGTCTGGACATTGCGATCTAATTTTCCATGCTTCGCGTCTGCAGAAGAACACGTAAAGGATGGGAACCCGTTGGCACTTTTCATCTAATATACTTTATCCATGGATAATCGTACAGAATAGCTGTTTTGTAATTTCTTTCATTAGCATGTACATCTGGGTTTATAATCGCTGTGGCAGTGAAAGCCCCTAAAATACCCTGCTCTTTCGAACTTGAGGTTGCTAGGATCCATATTGAAAATTCTTGTGTGCTTTCTTTTTAAATTTCATCTCATTTATAAAAGCATGCTTCCTGGTCGGAGCAGCTACAATTCGGTTTTAATACGCACAGCTATAATGAGGCCATCGCTGGCGGCTCTGGTATCGGAAGGCCTGTGAAGTGGCTACACCTTGTTACACGTTCGCCTCTCGCTTTCCTGAGCCAATAGCTGATGGTTGAAAAAAAAAAAAAAAAAACATCATGGCATTACATTTATTGCTTTATTTTGAAGGGAGGGGTGGAGGGGAGGCTGCTACAATGCTTGAAGTACCTGGCGCGCGCTATCTCGTGGCATAATGAGACTGCTTCTGAGCTTACTGGGCTATTAATGTATCCTCTGCTTTGCGTTAAAATGAACTGACTGCTCGAAAGCTTTGGCAACTAGAGTGATCATTGTCCCTTTAGCCAGCATTCTTTTGAGTTACGCGCTATCGGCAATATCGGATCTAAAAAATTAAATTTGTTAGTTTCACTTACATTTTTAGCAATGAATGCGATACCGATGAATTGTATTGTTATAACAAATAATAAGGCTTGACGTCATTCGTGAGAAGTGCTAGCGGCAGGGTTAGGGTTCGCGCACTCGCAAAAACATGCTGTACGTGCGGTGTTCAATATCCGTGACTTTGGTGACCAGAGAACCCTGAAACATCTCTTGCACGCCGATGCACGTACAGATGGAATCAGACTTGTCTAGAGTGCCCAGCCGGCCACTCCAGCTGGCGTTTTTTTCAGAAATATGTAAAGAGAGATGCCATAATGCTACCAAACATGGTTGTACTGCTTGCTAGACCCTTATGCTGTAATGTAACCATCAACGGTAGCTCTAACGTGAGATAGAAGCCATGACCAACAACATTGTCGACAGGCATACGCTCTGCTGCTCTAGACCAGCACGAACGGGCACGTACGAATGGACCTCCGAAATGGCGCGACGATGGTGTGGCCGCCTTCCACTCAAGCAAGGCTCAGTGCCACTCTAGAAAGCGAAGCACTTTTTACTCAGTCTGTTCGCGTTGAAACTACAAGGTAGAGGGGTATACCAGCGGTAAATAGTGCATGCTCCAGCGATCACGCCCTTAAAGTCAAAGTTAATAACATAGCCACCCCTCCCCCTAGCGGTTCTAGCTCCTTCCTGTTCCTTGGACACAGGCGGCACATTTCTCTCTGCTTGAATAACAATCGATGGAGGCCTGGAACGCGGATTGATGTTATCACATCTGCCTTCACTGCAAAGGAGATAGGTCGGCTCTTCTTATCTCTGCTTTAACTGCTTTCGTCACCCCCGCTTGCGCACTTTTACCCCTGTGTAAAACACAATGCACTGGGGGATGTTACACAAAACATGACGCCCAGTGGCGTAGCCAAGGGGAGGAAGGGGAACATCGGGAACGTGCCCCCCTATCTCCGAAAATTTTTTCACCATGGCATATATAGCGTAAAATGACCTTTTGCCTGCCCTTTTGCCTGTCATATTACGCCCAGCAGTCTAATCAGTTGTGTAGAAAAAAAAGAACCTTCTTTTATTCTTGAAGTCATCTTAGGGAAATGCACTTGGCACTGTGTGAGTCTCCAGCATTGTACGTCACAGCGTTTGTCTATCATATCTCCTGATAGTCACATAGGTGTATTTATATTATTATTTCATGAAGTACAGTTTTATTCAGCCAGTATTCTATTTATTTGCTACGGAAATAATCACTAACAAGTTTTTACAGAATGCTCAACAGCATGACGCCACTATCCTTACATCATCAACTGAAGTAGGGAATGCTTCTAAGATGATTGGCTCCTTGAAATTTGCAAAGAGTCTAAATATTTCTAGCTTTTCACAAGAGCCTCAGAATAATTTTTCATGTCCTTGAATGTAAATGCTACTTGCTTCTCCTTCAGCATTTGAAGTTAGCTGCTCCAAATTGCTCCAAAATGGAAAATTTTGCTGCTCCAAAGTGCTACAAAATAGAAAATTTTATTACTCCAAATGAAAAGTTTTGCTGCTCTAAAGTGCTGCAAAATGAAAATTTTGCTGCTCCTAAAATTGCTCCAGACTGGGAGACCTCGGTGGCATCACTGCAATCAAGTTCTTAGCCATGGATGTTTCTTACACCCCTTGTGGTCTGGTGGAAGTGACGAGGACCTCTTGCAGTTATAGAAAAGGTGGGATGGGAGAGGTCATTAATTGGTGCAGCATGCAGCTTGAAATAGATGCTTTTGTTTCTTCGGGACAAAGAAGGGGCAAGCTAAAGTGCCACGCCAATTTGATGTCAGCATCTTGTCAAATAATTGTGTAGCTCTATCAACCTTTATATGTTTTTTCTTCGAATATGCAAGTCTGGCAAAAGCATGCTCGTGTGCACGTGTTGTAGAAAACTGCAACGAATGCAGTACAACCACCCTATCGAAAAGGAAAAACATAAGTCAGCTTCGCCGCAAAGCAAACCTGTTATGCGGTGAGGCAGACAAAAAAATTTAAAAGGGATTATTTTTGCAAGACATAGTGTGCCTTAAAAAAAGAAAAAAAAAGTTTTTTTTCTAGAATTCGCTTTGTGGGCTCCAAAAAAATGGCTTTGTGAACTCCAGGGGCTCTGCAGATGACTGTTTGAGAACCACAGATGTACAGTCAACCTCATCTAATGTGAACACTTCATTTTTGTATATACTTGTTTCTAATGTCAGGTTTGACTTCCAGGAAGAAAGAAATAGAAAAAAAAAACTGCGTATATCATTCCACTTTTTAGACAACTCAAATTGAGGTAGTATTTGATTGTAACGTGAGGGTCGACATTAGGCAGCAAAAATCTGGAAAGAATGCGTGTTACATATATGACAATATTCAAACCAGTAAAACCACTTATTGTGCTTGACAAGGGAAATGCCTATTATTTGATGGACAGTAATGTGTTTGATGAGCAGAATTATAATTTTCGAAAATATGTATTGAACATCAGCTTCTATGAGTGTTCAAATACTAATGATATGTTCACCTTAGATGCGGACTACCTTGTACATTGCTCATTAATTTAAATGCAACCATTTAGGGCTAAGCACATATTCCTATGAGTGTAATTTGCACTCGGTCACTTATATCAGAGCCTTTTGCAACCAGATTTTAGTGATGTGATGTGGTTATAATTAGCAGTTACACACACAAATTGCTAGGCAAAGAATATTGGTGTCATGCTCAAAGTTGTGGGCACAGCGAGTAATTAATAGTTATACACAAACTTTTGCATAGTGTGTTTTATTGCGGTTTTGCCCGTTTGGTGAAGTAGTTTGCTTTTTCAAGAGAAAACTGTTTTACGCACGCTAGCTTGGTAACTTTTTACTTGATAACGTAAAATTTTATCTTGAACATAGTCCGCATATGTGAACTACAGTGCAACTACTCAGCCATGAATACTAGCCAAGGGGCTTATTTGGCAAAGGCTGATTTCTTCCTTATGGGCTTTTCTTAATGGCGCTCTGAAACATCTTTTTGAGTAACCATAGAATTAATTCACTGGAAAAGCTTATTGCCTCACGAATTCAATGCCGCAAAAATTTTAAGAATCCATCCAGTACGAGCGGAGTTACAAAGATTCGTCGCACACTGCAATCGCATTCTCTCTTCTCTCGTCCCGACGAAAGCACTGGAAGTTAAGCAGGGAGGGATGGGAGGGGCAAACAAAAAAAGTCACGCACGCCTTGTGGCCTTGAGTGCTTTTTTTCTTTGAATACGTGGCTTTTTCAGTGCGATCGTGTGCGCACGCGTGGACAAGTGACAATCTCCCACGGCAATCTCTGTATCAACTGAGCGTGCCATGTTCAAATCAGCCAATTGCTGATGAATGGGCTTATTACAAGTGATTTCTTTGGGCTTATTCCATGATTTGTCGAGAGAACAGAAAGCAATTTTTAGCTGATTTTGATATTTTAATGTGAATTCCAGGCCACGTTCTGCGCTGTAATATTTAGCTCACGTGTTGTTGGGAGCCTCTGCTACCAATCAGCAGCATTTTATGACTATGCTCAAAAAGTTTTGCAGGGCCCCTTTAAGAAATTTCACAGAGGTGATATTTTGTGACTTAGTTGAACGCTCTTTTTTCTATCACTTTCCAGGGGTCCACTGCTGATGGCAAATCAAGTAAAAGTGAATGTAAGTGGATATCACTTAGAAACTTGTGTGGCTTGATGATCCTATCAGCGTTTCCATGTCTAGTGCCCAGTCTCTTCCATTTGTTCATTAACCTTCTGGCGTCCTTGTTTGGAAATGGAACTTACTATTGTTATTTTTGTGCGCAAGGAAGAGACTGCGAGCACTCAACTAAATTAAGCGTTTTGTTGCCTAAAGTTTCTTTACATCATTTCTGGTTGAAATGTATTGCTGGACATGATCGCTTTCGTGAAGGCACTGCTGTGTTTAATGATGTTAGACGTAGGGCATTCTGTCGTGAATGTCGTGTTAAATTTGTGTAATGAATAAACCTACCATAACTAGCTGTACAATAACTAGATAGTTATTTATATTGTCATCACAACAATTTCAATTATTCCAGTTGGTCTCCTGAACCTTGTCATCAAATTGTGTAAATTTCACGCATTTAGAGGCTGTGGATTGAAATGCGTGTTGCAAAGGGCTTGTAAGCGAGTTCTACTTGGCCTAGCTCCTATTTAGGTGCTACAGATACTGACTAGCTTCCCAGTGCACTCATACCACTTCGATGCACTATCACTGTCGGGGGCACACCTATACATGAAACACACAGTTGTAACAAAACAATAAAGGTTTATTCTGGAATTATAGAATAGGTTAGCTTGTGGAGAAATGGTCAGAACGCCTTGTTGATGGGTGGAGCAGGAGTTGAGGTTGGCAAGCAACTAAAAGGGCTAAGGCATTCACTTGGGTTTCCCGGCCATTGCTATCCCGATAGCTTCTTTCTTCCTAGCCGCATGTGCTTTCGATCTTGGCTCTTACTGCTTGTTCCCTTCCCTTAATCAATGCATGGTCTTCTGCAGTTGAGAACTAGTCAGAGGTGACAAGGAGCATGTGTAAGAGTGAGAAGAACTGGTGTGATGCATGGGAAAAATATCGGACTTCACTCATTTCCCACAGGTTTTAAGCTTTGCGGTTGTTTCATAGTTTTCCTATTAGTTTGGGACTGTTGGACTGCTCATATTGGCTAGCTTGGTGCTGTGTTCTGTCTAGCCAACTTGGAGCAGTGTCTTAAAGACTAGGGGCTCGTGCTTATCGATCAATATTGAAAGTTGGCTGCGAGTTCCAGGGAGCAGAAGGGCCAGGGCTCGTTCAGTGTTTGCTGCTTAGTCTTGAGACCTCTATGTAGTCAAGGGAAAATAAAGAGTTGCTATTGTGTGACACTGGCTGTGCTCTGCAGCTAAGGAAGGATGAGAGCGGAGGTATTATGCACTGCTGATTCATCTAGGAAGTTAACACAGGAAAAGGGAAGGTCCATCCAACGTTATTATTTTTTGTGTGAAATTTCCGTGCAGTTCGTGTTATACAGGTCTTCATAAGAGGCAACCAAAATGTTTAAGTGCAAGATCTGTAGTTTTGCGACAGTTTTGAGACTAGTCGTAGTTTGGAAGTGGAAATAAAGAGTTGGTGAAAGTTTGCCTAAAAATTATCACATACACAAAAAAGTACTTTCAAAATAAGAGAATAGAAAAACCACACCACATTTCACAAATGTTATAAACAAGAACACTGAACATCATCTGTTTATGAATCTAGGGGAAGTGTTAGTTTAATGCAAAGGAGGATTGGCTAAATGAAATGATGAAATTGTCGTATACGAAAAATGCTGTTTCTTGAGCGAGTGTAACATTCATACTTGGAAGGGTAGCACTAGTGGACACGAGCTAAAGGAAGGCACACCAACACACACACACAGAAGCGCTGTGTGCCTTTCTTTAGTCTGTGTCCACTAGTAGCGCTACTCTTTCAAGTATGTCGTATAGAGCATTGGTTAAGTGAAAACCGTAACAAGAAACTGTTATGATATGGTGGCCATAAATTAAAATCAAGGACAATACTACAGTCGAATCTCATTATTTCAAACACGCTTAATTCGAACTTCCGGTTGATTCGAACTCACGATGAGGTCCCGTCAAAGCTATGTGTATTCCAATGGACGAAAGCGCCCGGCAATTCGAACGCCCAAGCACTTCCGACAGTTAATTCAAACATACCCCGCTCCAAAAATGCTCTCAGCACCCCGCCTAATCCCGTGGCGGCACCTGCGACAGCTCAATGCTGCCCGCAAAAGAAGTGAAAAGGAAAGAAAAGACTGCAGTGGAACGTTCGCTCTCTCTCAAATGCCGGTCTGCAACACGCCCGTGTCACGCTTCTTCCTTTTTCGTCCCTACCACGTAAAGACCCTTCTCCTTTCAATGCCACGCGTGAAGAGACAGAGGAAAACAAAAGAAAGCTGTCACTGGGTTGAATGAATGTGTGGTTGAAGAAAAAGAAAAAGGCACTATCTTCTGCAGCCCTTGCCCTTTGTGAGAGCATGGCTCTGCGCCTTGAGTGGGGGGGTCTCTTACGCACTTTTCCTTCTCTGCCACGTAACCCTTCTCCTTTCAACGACGTGCACAAAGAGAGCAAAAAAAAAAAAAAAGAAAAAGCCGCCGCGGAGTCTTGGTTTTCTCTCAAATGCCTGCTTCTCTCCACGTGGAGGCGCTTCTCCTTTCTCGTCACGTGCTGGCTATGCTGCGGCTGCGTAGCGGAGAGAGGGAGGCTCCGCTATGCAGCAGTCGTCGTTGCCGTCGTTTTTAGAAAGTGCCACGTGCAACTTCTCTTGCCAGGAGAATGCTGAAGCTGAAGTAGAAATGCTTTGCAAGCTGCGTGCGAAATTTATTGACTCGCTGCAAGGTAAACGTGTGCAGACGTACATCACGGATTACTTCAATTAATAACGGATGTCCTGTGGTTTGGGAATAAATCTAAGTTTTCCTAAACGTCCTTCTCGTGTGTTAGCTCAATGCACATGCGCCACTGTATAGAGAGCCCTCCATTTATTTAGCTTTCATTAATTTGACCTTCTTTTAATTCGTACAAGTTTTTGGGCCCCTTCTAGTTCGAATTATCAAGATTCGATTGTAGTAGATAAATACCTTGAACGTTATATCTTTGTGAATGCACTTACATCACTCATCACTGTGTTTCTTTTACAGTGTCGCCAGTGCTGACATCACAGACTTTTCCATCACGGGAGGTGCTGCGACGAGAGTTTGAGGCCTACATTGAAAAAAAAAGTGCTTCCTTGGATAAGTTTATTCAAGACTTCTGTGCCGAAAGTATTCTGCCACTCCTGGAGAGCACGACGTGCCCGAACCTGGACAAGTAAGTTTTTATAAATCTTTTTTATTGCAAACGAGTGATGCACAATGCCACAAGGTGGCAGAGGGGCTTACGGAAGGGATAACAGACAGCTACATGTTCGTAGCACGAAGTGACGAAAAAAATTCCTACAGATTTTTTGGGAAAAAAAAAGCTTCCAGTTGAAAAAAAAATTCATCTTGGTTCAAGAACTCAGTCTGAGATCGCGGTGGCTGCTGTACCAACTGAGCTAACTATGATGTGAGAAATTTGCAGCGCGAGGGTGTATCAAGTCACTCGAAGCACGAGGAGACAGAATATTCCGAGTGAGCTTTGCAGGATCCCACAAGGTGGCGGTGAAAAGAATAATTGCAGTATGTCGCAGAACTAATTTGCAATATCTGTGTAAATGTTGACATCCTGGTACACTCAGTTGGTAAAGTGATTGCCCTGAAAAACATTGATCTCAGGTTCGATCCCCGTACCAGGACACTGATTACTTGCCTGCATGCTGTTCACACTCTAGAAGTACCAGGCATGCCTAAGAAAGGTAAGAAGCATGAAAGATGTGACGATGATTATTGTTTTGGGACAAGATGTTCTACAAGAGTTCAAAACTTTATTTTTGGAGTGTAATATCGGTTGGAATATACACCTCTACGAGACTTGACACCAATTCTGTCTCAAAAAGAAGTCCTGAAAGGTGCAAGACTTCTTGGAGTATTGTAGCACCAATGAAAACATCTTTCTGCAAGATTGTGGTCGGGTGTATTCTGAGCCTATACTAATTGTTACTTTTGAGGCCTTACTTTATGTTGTCATTTGACTAAGTTGACTAATTTGAAGAGTTTATTGGTTTTTGCTTCATGGTGTTGAAGAATAGGTATACACTTAGCTCAATATAACAAATCCTGATATAACGAAATATTGGTTATAACGAAGTTAATGAAGAATTTTCTTACAATAGATAAGTGGTAAGAATGTACACTATAACGAATTTTTGAATATAACGAACTTATTTTTGTGTAAAATGCAACAATTGTTATAATGAGATTTGAGTGTATATGCTTTCAATGCATCTGGTAGGTGTTTTTCAAGAACATTTCCACTCTCACCCTGTTCAACTTTGTTAGAGCAGCTGAGCTCATGGGTATAAAGAAGTCCTCTTATGAAAGTAAACTCATTTTTGAGAAGTCATATGCCTGTTGGTGCAGGACGTCTGAGGAGAGGTTGCCCGCTTTATGATTACTTGTTTTTGTTTTCTTTCAGAGAAGATGCTGCTGTTTTGCAGACGTTTTACGGGATCATTTGCAACAAGGGGCGTCGGCTTCCAGCGTTTCTTCAGTCTCACCAGTGACGGCAGCTTTTGCCTTTGTTGCCGATGCATTCCAAATGCTCATCCAGCTGTATTAAGCAGTGCATTTTTTTATGACTATTTATTTATACTTATACCTCATTTTGTACTAGAACTTTAAAAATAAACCACCAAAGTGCTCTATGCCCACTTGGTTTATTTTAATACCTAAATGTGCTTGCAGTTAATCGCTACATTTCATTGAAACGTAAAACTAACCAAAGGAAAATGAATGCGGTTGAAAACATAGCTTGCTGCAGCTGGGTGCCACTGCAATGTGGATGTTCTCAGTTCCTGTGCATAAGAGATCTCGCTGGTGAGTGTGTGTTGAAACTCGACGGAATTATTTGAGGTCTTCTCCTCAGTATGCACATGCGTATTCAAAACTGCTGCAGGTTGTGACGAATCATTTTGATGCCAATCAACATGCGGTCATTAATTTATATGTTTGGAAACTGGAATAAAGTAAACTTGTGGTTTTTGGCACACCCGTAGGCACGCGTAGGACTCCCTTCACGGGAGGTAAGAGGAGTGGGAGGGGCGAAAGTTTGTTGCCGTGCTCCCCTGCCGATTGTGTCATTGTATGGGGTTGATGACTGTATGCCCCCCTCTCCGTCTTATGTGACTAGGGAGGTAGCTGCTCCCCCTGTCTCCCTCTTTTCCGTGCACACGCCTATGGGCCCACCCCCAACTCCCATTATCTAATTATTCACACACAGAGCATTATCTAGAGCAGTGAAAGAATCAAATACCTGTAGTGACCTTGCCTTAAGTTGTAGTTCACACCCATCTTGTTGATCGTGTTCTTTGATCCCAAAGAGTTTGTGCCATGAATTTGCCCTGAATATAGTGAAAATTTTGCACATATAATTGTGCATTGTTACGTGGATCAAACAGATATTTTCTATGTTTAGTGTTTACTTTCTACGTCTAGAATGTTTACATTGAGCAAGTTTTTTCTGCAGCCGACTATTTGTGAGCTCTAAAATACGACATGGAACCGCGTTACTTTTCCTTTGATTAATTGATATGTGGTGTGTAATGTACCAAAACCACCTCGTTACTTGACTAAATATACATAGTTTTTGCATGACGGCTTGGGGTACTAAGATGGTGGAAACTGTGACATTTTATCTCATTAGCATTGGTGTTAATCATAGAGGGTTGAAGGGGGTCCGGACCCCCCTTGTGTTTTTGCTTGAGAACATCACGTGCTTGAGTTACTCGGCAGCTAAGTACAGCGCATCTGCCGTTTAAAGGCTTATTATGTTTTAGTATGTACCGGCGTTAAATATCTCTCAGTAGCGTGAGGCTATGGAGCTCGCAAAAGCCACTCAACCTGTTCAAAGAAGACTGAATTGAACAATGCAGTAATTCGAGCTTGGACCTCATGCTCGTTTTTTAAACTTTATTTCAAAGAATGTCTCAATTCCTAGAATGAACTGCAGAACATTATTATAATGTCTATGTCTTTAATTATGATAAAATATTAAGGCAGAGCTTGTAAAACTTAAATATGGCTGTTAAATGCAATATATAGCATTGCCCACCTTTTAGTGACAGCTTTGTCTCATGTAGCCACCATATTCAACATGAGAAATCGTCAACTGCCATCATATTGCCCAATTCTGTACTGCCAACATTCCTCAGCCAGACAGGCCTTGGCAGTCCACTGGGCCTATCAGAGCTGGCAAAATGGTGAAAGTGACTGTCTAGAACTATGCCACCGATGGCACCTCAGTTTGTCCAAGACATTTCATATGCAACACTAATTGGCTGAACATTGGACAACACGGGAATATTGGGGACGTAATTAGAAAGCCAATGGCATAGCCAGGGGGCGGCACACCAAGTTTGTGCCCCCCTTCTTCCCGGAAATTTTTTTTGTGCATACAGAGCGCAAAATAACAATCGGCCACATCTGCCTGTCAGGGCCCCACTTCAAGTGAAAATAATGCCCTTCCACCTAGAAAAAAGTTTCTGCCTACGGCCATCAGAGAGGCCTCAATTCCTATGTCGGAAGAGTTTTCGTCAATAACGTGTCAATGTATGCTCTCTCCCCTTTCTCATGTGTTGTTCTGCACATGCTGCTTCATTTATTGCCACCACTACCAAATGCACTGGTAGAGCATGTTCAGGCACTCGCGTGCTACTCTTTACATTATCTAATATATGACAGAATGTCACTGGTGCTGCGACAGCCGCGGACATGTTACAGTTGCATTTTATTCATTTATCGTCACTTATGGTTGCCCATTTGAATTGTCAGTTTTATGGTGTTTGGCAGATACCTCGGGTATTGTACAAATAAACATATTGAACGAACAGACATAAAAAAAACAAGATAACTGAACGAACCAATGTGCATGCTGGTATGCTATGCGCTCAGCTTACTGCAGCCGGAATCCTCAGTCAGCGCGCCCTCTCCCGGCAGCCGGGCATGCGAAAATTTTTTCGCTGGCGAGCGCAGCAATTGGGATGGCCGGAGAGAAACCTGCCGGTGTGCAATCATGTAGGCCATGCTCTGTGCCACCTTGACGCCCATGGTCGGCACACTAGTAAGTATAATCTGGACACTATTCAATCATTCCAGCAACTATAGGCGGCACAGCAGAAGGTCGAAATGGCGGACGAGATGCTGATGTTGCAAGCGTTTACGTCAGCGTCACTGAGCGTGAAGACGCATTCATTGGTTTATAACTACGGAGAGACCGAACTGCGTCACAGTTTTATCGCCGTGTGACAGCTTCGAAGCACGGCTACATGGTGCCGCCTGCGTCGCTGGAATGTCCGAATACCGTTAGAGTGTCAGAAGTGTTCATTATAAAAGTAGGAGGCTTTGAGCAATGTTTGCTATATACATGGATGCAGTTTCAATGGGTAGCATAAAAAAATTGTTAGTGCACCGAGATATGGTCGTCGTAATGGACAGATAGTTATATCTTGGATCGTTATAAGTGTAGTGATCTATACCAAGACTGTAGTGATCTATTTTTGCTGTCAAATTGTTAACATTTCATGTTTTTTTCTGAATTACTTTTAAATATTGGTGGCTTAAATGTACACTTCATGTTAATAAATTGCATTTCTTCTTTCAAGTGCATCACACCTTGGCAAAACTGGGTAGTTAATAAGAAACAAACTCATCAAACCTAATGAATTTAAACAGGAGCTTTTAAGGCAATACAGCTGAAACTTGATTCAACAAAGTGATGACCATGCTCAATTTATTTAATTGAATCAGGAAGTTTGTACAATCGAGAGTAAGGTCTTTCAGCCCTTTGAAATCTCACATTGCAATGTAGCAACACGTCCTCTGGTGAAACAGACAGAATTTAAGATCGAAAACCGTACATTGGAGTGTATACAAGAATATGTATACCTAGGACAACTACTCACCAGAGAACCTAATCACAAATAATAAATTCACCAAAATACAAATGGGCTAGAGTACATTCAGCAGGCACTCCCAAATAAAGTCAAGAAGTCTGCCTCTATCATTACAGTGAAAAGTATACGACCACTGCATACTATCATTGCTGATGTATGGGGCTAAAACCTGGAGATCAACAAAACAACTAGAGCAAAAGCTTAAGACCACACAGCATGCAATGGAATGTAAAATCGTAGGAATAACATAGAGACATCGGAGGTTGGCAGAATGGGTAAGAGAACAGACAGGAGTAGCAGATATTCTAGCTACATCAAGCAAAAAAAAAAAATTGGACCTGGGCTAGTTATGTGCAGAACAGACAGCCGGTGGTTCATAAGAACAACAGAATGGTTAACATTCTGTTGTTCTGCTCCGCCCAGGGATGGAAAACGCAGTCGGGGAAGCTAGAGAGTTGGATGGAGTGACAGAATTTGGAAATTCACAGGGATAAAATGGAATCGGCTCGCACAGGATAAGGTAAACTGAAGATCATTGAGAGAGGCTTTGATCCTGCAATGGACTAACACAGGCTGAGAATGATGAACAGCCTAAAACTACCACGGCACTGTGTTTTTGCCACCAATTCACAACTTGCATGTGAAAAGTCCATGAGGGAGTCCCAAACGTGACTAGGACATGCAGCCTCTCATGTTGCCTGGACGTGGGGGCACTATGTCGGCACCATTTAGGCAGCGTAGATGGTTACGTGAAACCATGACAAGCTACCAATATTAAAGACGCAGAGAAAGATTGCGGTAAATGTGTGGGTATGCTGATTGAAAAAGTTGCAAGGAGACAATCGATGCTATCTTTTGCGTAAGCTATGAAATGACAAGTGGAACCATCACAGCTCCTAGCACCATGCAGTATGTAAAAGTGCTACCAACTGCCAAGTACACTCTGTGCATGGGTGCAGCATGCAGCCTCATAAAAATAAAACTAGTGCCACGACTAAGGGGGCATAACATGCTCATAAGCAAAACTCCATCTCTGTAAAAATTGAAAGAAAATCGCCGCATTACTCAGTCACCTCAGGAAACACTTCAGGAAACCGTGTTTAGTGACCATGTAAGCTCAGGTTGGTGATGACAGACTCAGTAAGGTATTCTGTTGGATAATGAAAATTTTTTAGATGGTAAACTTCATAAAATTCAGTTTTTATGGATTCAGGTTTAACTAATATTCCTCAGAATGTAGTTTGAAACAAGACATCGAATGTATCGTTTGCATTTTCTAGGTTCCTAATAAAGGTCATAAATATAGATTACTTTATCAGATTTCCTTCAGCTGTGCTACACGGTAATTCAGTGGTTATTGTGCTCGGCTGGTGACCTGAAGGTCACGGTTCAATCTTGACCTTGGTGGTCGTATTTCGGTGGAGATTAAACGGCAGATCCCCTTGTACTGTGCTGTGTCAGCACACGTCAAAGAACACCAGATGGTAGAAATTTCTGGAGCCCTTCACTACGGCATCCCTCATGGTCATTTTGTGGTACTGTGGTTTTGGGACGTAAAACCCCGGATATTATTTTTTTCAGCACTTGTGTCTAATGCAATTTTTTTTTGCAGCATCCCTAAATGTTGTGGTAGCCTAGTGGCTGTGCTGCCAAGTTGCAAGCTAAATTCTCACTGCAACTGCCATGTTTTGGCAAGAGAAAAAAGCATTATTTCATTTAGGCAGGTTTGCTTCTTGTGACAAGGCTGAAATGAACTAAAAATTCAAAAAATCCTA